TTATATTATATTATAATATTATATATATATAATATATATATATATATATAGATATATTATACTATATATAATATATATACATATGGATGATGATGAACTATAACCAAATTATTACAAATGCATTCAAATATATTCAAAAAGACACAAAAGCTTTCGGTTCATGAACCTTGATCACTGTGCACTAGAGGGACAGCATACGCGCAGCGTAATAAATCAATTTTCATTAAAATCGGCCCAGTAGCGGCCGAGTTATTGCCAGAATAATTGTTGCGTCTCCTCTTGCCCGGCGGTGCCCTGCGCCGGTGTTCATTGCCAAAGGTCAGTGACCTTCCGGCTCTGATTTCGCTCAGCTTTGCAAGCGAAGAAACTGAGCCTACAGCGCGTGCTCTCTGCTCGAAGCCTGCCGCGGCCAAAATTCCGCAAAGATGCGCCCGCCACGTGCACACCGCTGCACGCACCCCCTCGAAAAGTTGATACGACAAACAGATGCACGCGTCCGACTTGTGTCGAAAATTTCACCCCCGTAGCCCGCACCGTCGCCTCGCAACAGCCCGCCAAGCGTGACTGACGCGTTACACACGGACATTACGTATGTACGTATGTATGTATGTATGTAACGCGTCAGTCACGCTTGGCGGGTTATTGCTCCGGAACGGTGCGGGCTATGGGGGTGAAATTTTGGACATAAGTCAGACGCGTGCATCTGTTTGTCGTATTAAATTTTGGTGGGGGTGGGTTCGGTGGTTTGCACGTGGCGGGTGCATCTCTGCCGCATTTTGGGCCGCGGCCGGCGCCGATCAGAGAGCACGCGCGTTAGCCTCAGTTTCTTCGCTTGCAAAACTGAGTGAAATCAGAGCCGGAAGGTCGCTGACCTTTGGCAATGAACACCGGCGCTGGGCACCGCCGGCCAAGAGGAGACGCCAAATTTATTCTGGCAATAACTCGCCCGCTATTGGGCCGATTTTATTGAAAATTGATTCATTACGCTGCGCGTAATGCTGGACACCTAGTGCACAGTTATCAAGTGATCACAGTGATTTGCACAGTGATCAAGGTTCCATGAACCGAAAACTTTGTGTGTCTTTTTGAATATATTTGAATGCATTTGTAATAATTTGGTGTACTATTTACATCATCATCCAACCTGTCATGGATACTCAATATATACAATATACATATATATAAGCACGCACTTCTTATATATAATAAGCACTTCTTATTATAATAATCACTTCTATATAAAGCACTTCTTTATATAACAACATGTTTCCCTAGTCATGAAGTATCGAATGATTATATATGTTGTTGAGCTGGGACGGATTCATTTGGTAAAACATTGTTCAAACACCAGCTTTAAGTTTTTATTGGGAGCTTTCGGAAGCGTTACAGCTTCCTTCGTCAGCCTTGGATAGAATTCTTAAAAAGACAGATAAACACGTAAGTACAAAACAATTCAAAATTAAAAAACGCCACTTTAACTTAAAGAGGCGCAGATATTCGTTACGAAACGAGCTTTTCTCGAATATCTGCGCCACTTTATATGTTATGTTATGTTATATATATATGTTACTCGCCTATACTTGCTCAGGTCATGTCAACCGAACCGTGACCTGAGGTCAAAATTGAGAGTGACCTTAGTAGGTCAAAATACAAACCATTTGTTTCGCAGTCATTAGAGAACTGCAACGGCGTTTACCGTTTCAGGCTATCACTAACGGTTCAGAAGTTATTGACGCAAAAGTGGTGCTACTAAAAAATACGCTTTTAGATTTTTGACTCCTAGCGCCTCAAATATCAAAAATAGCTGAAATCTGTTGGCAGCTATTCGAAACGAAATTTCCTCAGCTATCAGCTGCTTTTCCGTTTTCCTCTGACTTTCCTAGATACTGAACTAGACCTCATTCTTTGAAAACTCTGCCAAATCGCAAAATTTTGGCTTTTTGGGGGTCTCAGGGTTTTTTCGTTTTTGATGTTAAAAAATGTCAAAAATGTATTTCCCGTTGAGAGCAATCCAATGCCGCTTACCGGATCAAAATCCGTTCATTAGTTTCCGAGATCTCAGGGGGGGGGGGGGCGAAATCGAATCGGCCCCCGCCAGTTTCTTGTCCCGGCGGAGCCCGCCGGAGACGTGGCTTGGTAGGCTTCAGCTTAGGAGACAACCTCGGGTACCGATGGCTTGTCGACTTTGAAACTGGATGACCGTTAGCAGTCAGCCTGCTTGCCAGTTTCCTTTTGGATTTGCCCGTCTTAAGCTCCACACTTCGCGATAATGATCTGCGCTACCCGACTGGCGGAAGTCTTCCTGTCGCGACCTAGCTTGTTCTCAAGCGTCTATCTGCTTCTGTCACGTGACAACCAGCGGCAAATCGTGCGGTAACCCATGCCCAGTGCCTCGGCGACCTGGCTGTGGGCCATGCCGCCGGCAGCTATGCCGACTGCCCCGTTGCAAGACGATTTGCTGTGCCGTTTTGCCATCGCGGACACCTGGTCCGCTCGCCCTGGCTACTGCCCCGAAAATAGCCTCCGTTAACCACTTGACCAGTCAGGGCCACAAAAATTCGAAGGTCACGTGACTAGAATGCAGCCAATATGGTCTCTAGGAGCAAGTAACGCCGAAATTATATTGAAATTACGCCGTATTAGGCAAAATAAAGGTTGTGGGAGGATGTGACATTGATTTTGGGTCACCCTGTATCATAGACTACTACATATCTGGACTGGACACGAAATTTCGCCGATTACCATAAGGGTACTGCAGGCGGTGGATGACGGATGTTAATTGCATTTATCACGTGCTGCAATAATGAGTATTTTACTTATAGAATCTCAAACATTCCAAATTTCAACATATTGTTTTCGTTGAGCTTTGTCGGAATTGTAGTTTATACATCTTAATACCAAGTTGGTTTAGTGTGGATCATTGTAATATTTTTTTTGTGATTTCCCCTTTCTGTACAATCGTTCCACAACACAATGAATTCATAACTTGTGGTTGTATACAGTATGGAAGCTGTTCAACAATGCCAAGATATTGTGCAGTTGCTAACTGTCGTTCAGGACACAAGCCGACGATATGGGACAGGGAAAACAATAAGCCTACCCCACGATTAAGCGTTTTTCGATTCCCCGGAAATAAAGCAAGCAAGAGAAAATGGGCTGAAGCCATTGGACGGAACGTGGAAAACCTGAACGGGGTCAACTGTGGCATATGCGAAAAGCATTTCCGTCCTCATGATTTTCGTGCGGGTGCTAACAGACGCGGCAAGGATCGGAAACGGCGACTTCTGAAGAAAGATGCTGTGCCGTTTGTGGAACTCGCAACAGGCCGCTCAACACCTCGTCCGACGAAATTTGCAGACCCATCGGCACGACGACTCCGACAGGAACAAGAGGCCGAAAACCGGACACAGGCATTCTTCGCTGACGACCAGATACAGAACCTTGCTGATCTCTGTCAGAAACTAAAAAAGGAGCACCTGCCCGTGGGCTTCAGGTATGTTTATCAATGGAATTGATATTTTGCATAGGCGTAGGAACGTCACGAAAAGTGGGGGGGGGGGCAAACCCCGGTCAGGGACACTTCGATCTCAGTTTGTGGGAACCCCAACCCCCCTAAGAAAAATTTGAGGGCAGTTTTGAACTCCTCTCGTCTTGCTGAATCGTTTGCTGCCTTTATTTTTGTATTTTGAGCAACATTAAATAATGTAGCATGAAATTTGAAAACTTGGCCGCAAAGGGCATGGCTCCCTGGCCCCCCTGTTCCTACGTCTATAGTGTTTTGTAATATGTATTTAATTTTTTAGGTATGATAAATGATAATAATATTATGCCCAACTATGTTGAATAGGTACTTAACGGGAGTGACGGATAGATTAATACGATTTAACCCACCAATTACATATTTGATGTAGGTAACTGTTTCGTTGCAACGTCTTGAAAAAATGATACTACTGAAAAATAAATAGATGCAAATAGATGCTTGAATATCGTCTAATGAATTTTCTTTTTTTCAGGGTGGCCGAAGTCAACGTTGAAGACGTGACAGTGATCAGCATAAGAAAGGAGGAAGTTAGAGAACCGGCTGGCATGCCCGTTATAACCCACAACATCACCATATACGACGACCTTCGCTTCAAGCTGCACTGCCAAGGAACTGATGTTTCGGTCAAGACAGTCTCTGATATCTGTTGCGTGCCTGGAGCGTTTTCATCAGTGTCAGAAGTGCTGAACGTGATTGCACGTCTGAAGAGTGTCACTGTGACAGTTGCTGCTCGTCTGTCGGCAGCCACGACGCTCCTCGACACAATCGCCGAGTCCAGCGATGGCGATGTCTGCCCAGTAGTCTCCTTCTGCGCTGAACAACTGCGACTAGTCGCGAAGCCGGCGAACAACAGACGGTGCTCTCAGGAGCTTCTGGGGAACGCAGTGATTTGGGAGAGAATGAGTCCCAAATTGTACAGCACACTTCAACAGTCGCCCTTGCTCTGCATTCCGCACTCAAAAACCCTCCGTCGACTTACATCTGCACTGCAGGTTAGCGCCGGACTCGACAGCACGACAATGGCGTACCTCCGTATGCGAGTTGAAAAGTTGGCGCCACGAGAGCGGCTTATCAATATGGCTATGGATGAAGTCTACTGCGCCCAGACGATGGAGCTGGCCGGCGGGCGGCTGTTTGGCGAGCAAGATGGAGCTATCGCCAAGACTCTGTTCTGTGTCCATGTGAACTCTGTCGCAGGAACATACCAGGACATGATATGCATGCAGCCAGTCCCTCACGTCAAAACATCCGACATCAATGACATCTTCAACAAAACGCTGAAGGGGCTGACCGAGCTAGGACTCACTGTGGTGTCGGTAACAACTGACAACCACCGCACGAATCAAGCGTGGCACAGGTCACTCGGCACGGACGGTCACCACCCGGAATACCTGATAAATCCATACTCTGATGATGAGAAGATTTTCACGCTGTACGATACAGTGCACGTGTTTAAGAACCTCTATTATGGTATGATGAGGAACAAATCACTCCGTCTTCCGCCTCTCCCTGGTTCAGAAGACCAGCGCGACCTAGAAGTCAGCTTCGATCACAGAGGATCTATGAGATGGAGTATGGCAACCCGGCCAAGCTTGCGTACAAGCTTACGGACAGAGTCTTGAATCCATCAGTTGTGGAGCGTGTCAATGTGAAGTTGGCATGGCGGCAGCCACGGACCAAACAACGACTGCGGCCCTACGGTACTTCGCTGAACACCGGCCTGACTGTGCAGGTTTCGCCGACACTGCAGCTCTCCTTGAATTCATCAGACGGTGGTTTGATGCATGTAACGTTAAGTCGGCGTACGCAGCGCAACGACTGAACGACAAGAGCCGCATCGCACTGCGAGCTGCATGTGACGACAGCGAGAAGTCACTTGGCTTCATCGCGAGCTTTGGTGACTACATGCGTGCCGTTCTCGACAGCGGTGCTCCGATGACAAAGGACACTTGTATGGCGGTGTTTTATACCTCAAGGGGTCTTGTTGCCCTGGCACGGTACCTTCTGTCAACATATCCAGATCGGCTAGAGTACGTTCTCACGGGGAAAATTCAGTCGGATCAGATTGAAGGTCGTTTTGGGCACCTGAGGAAGCTCGCCGGTGGGAACTATTGGGCAAGCGTGCGCCAGTTCTGGGAAAATGAAGCCATCATCCGCACAACAGGGCTGGTTTGGTGGTCGGGCTTCACCGTGGCCGAAATCGCTTCAAGAATGGACATTCCAAGACAGGAGAAAGGGGAGGAAGACAGCGAGACGGTACGCCATCTGTCAACACTGATCACAGCAAGCGACATCGAAGACGACCTCGATGACACAACCGAGGCTGCGCTCGGCTACATAGCCGGCTACCTCGCGCGCGCAGTCACCAAAGACAACAAGTGCGATTCCTGCGCAGATCTGCTGATCGACAGACGCTCTCCACCACTGGAGGTTCGCTTGGCGGACAACCTGGATCAGACGTCGTTGCTCAGCAATACTTTCATCGGCCTGTTAGATCGAGGGAAGCTGATACGACCCACTTCCACTGCAATCGACATCGCTTCCAGAATCTGCTGTGTTTGGAGGACTCTCGTCAAAGAGCAGAGCAGCAGGCAGCGTCTGTTCGGCAGCAACCTGCCGCGAGCAGTCTTCGTGAATGTGGTGAGTGAAGTCATCACATCGGCCGAGAACGTGACTGTCTCAGACATCAGCTGTGAAGGAGGCCACTGTCTTGCAACTGTAGTATCGCGTATGGCAGGCTCCCTATTCAATTTGTTCGCCAGCAACATGGTCAGGGACGCCAACAGCCGTCTACACGGAAAATGGAAGCGTTCCACAGACCCCGGCGCCAGTACCAGTAAGGAGAGATGCTCTAGGGAAGACCAGAAGCGCCGCAAGTTAAGTGGGAGTAAGAAGACTTAGGACCAGCTCGGCTCCACTGCATCTGCAGGCGCTGACTGACAGCGTTATCTAGTGGCCGATATTTAAGTTACCTTTGTGCACCGGCACAGTATGCCTTCAGGCGCTGACTCACAGTGCCATCTAGTGGCCAGTATGTACGTTACATTTGTGCGCCGGCACAGTATGGCTCAGCGCGACCCGGGTCAAACGTATATACGCCCGCCGCCAGTTCTCCGTGTTTTGTCCTGTTAGTTTCTGGAGCTAGAAGAGTGACATCGCAGGAGCGTCACAGTTCCAATAGTGTATCATTGTGATCAATTTCTGTGATAATTGTGGCCTGCATTCAGTCGGGGTCGGGGCCGGGATAGGGGGTTGCGGGGAGAAAAGGGAGTTGGGGAGGGGGCGGAGCTTGACGAGGTAGGGCACTCAGATTTGAGATAGGTTGGTTACAGAATTCCACAAAATACTGAAATATTATCGATCATGTCTATGAACTAGTGTCGGAGCTGGGCGGGAAGCACCCAGTACTTACTGTTTGAGCTACCTGCCGAGAACGTACAGGTCACCGCTAAAGTAATGTGGGGTTCTACTGTGATCGAACAAAACATAGCGCCATTCCTTGACGGTAAGATATATCGTCAAAAGCGAGGATCGCACAGCTTCGTATTTCAGATTGACAACTTCCTCTAATGTGTCACCATTCTACCTGCCACAGCATGCTCGTTATCATCGAAAAAACTGAAATATCGAGCCCCTTGGAGCACCCCGGAGTCATGTTTCTGTGACCGCCACTGAACACAGTTGTAAACCTACGCGCGTGCGTACTACGCAATAGTAAGGAGTCATTGCTGGACCCTCCAGTAGAGAGTAGCCCTGCCATTGATGATCCGGACACCAGCATCGGCCGATAGGAGCTGCTCTCTGACAGGCAAGGAGGGGGAGGGACTGAGGTGGGGAGGGGTTGACCGCGGGGCTACCGGCCGGTGCAGTGGGAGGGGTGGGTGGAGGTAGGGTGACAGGGACACCAGCCTCAGGGCAACAGTGAGCTTTGACCCGAGGCGTGCGAGAGCGATGCCCGATGCCATTTTGTGAAGCAGCCAGCGTGTCACGGATTCACGTGGGAGCTTTGACTGAAAGTGCTTTTTATATTTGAAATAAATGTGAATTTAACGTATGGGTAATGCTTACCGCAAACTCCATGCCCCGCTAGTACCTTTAAAATATGCAGATAGTTGTAAGCTGACTGGTTGTGACAGCCAGTACCTACAATAAATTTTCACAACACCTTACACACAATAGCACAAATCACAATAGGCCGCTGGCTAGAGTTGTCCGAGCAGAATGTGCGCCGGTCGGTGCGACTACACAGGGCCCGAGCGGGTGACGATCGCAGGCTCCTCTCCCATGACTGGATGACTAGACGTGGGTCGAGCCGGAGCGGTGTTTCGAGCCGGCCAGCTCAAAGAACAGCACGTATGCCTTTCCGCTGTTGACGTTTCTCTGGTCCATCACGTGGACCCGCGAGTCGTTGTACTCGTACCACTCTGCCGTGTACGGGTGTCGGCAGTAAGCGGTGTAATGTCCTGAGAGCAGCGTGCCAGAGTGGTTCGCCACGCCGTTAACTATCAAGGCTACAGTTTTGAAGATAGAAAAAAGCAGCATTTGAGAGAAGATGTTCGTAATGAGCAGTTGTAACTTACTACAATATCAGATTTACCATTTATTTTATTTAAAATATTTGAATGAATTGATGTTTTGCATAACAATAGCCGATCAGAATACCTTAAATTTTAACCACCTGTATAGTCTAATTCTGTAAAATATTTGTGCATTGGCTTCGGTTGTCCGCCGAACTTTTTTGTTCATTGAGGGCCTCGTCGACATGACCTGTATTACAAGATTTACGCTGTAGCAAAATCCTACGATAGCTGTATGAGTAGAAATGCTGTATGACAAAGGCACGGGCGCCCGACAACTGGGTCGAGGCAGGTGGAGGCCGGCCAGAGGTCATGCTCGTATCAATCACCCTTGACCCCGTCCACCGCCCCCGGCGGATACTGGCACCTTACTGGATCGGATGAGACTGTAAGATTCATTAGAACGGCGAGGCCCACAGCCATACACACATCGGCGCCGCAAACGCCCGTACGTACTCGGCGGCGGCATTGTGTGAACCCATGACTCATATGAAACACCCAGTGACACCTAGCGGCCGGCCAGACATTGCACTGACGTGGAAGTGACTACAGGCGGCGGCGCCCCACGAACTGCACCCTTCCCTTTGCTGACAAACCATCACAGAGGGACCATCTTTGTGCTGCCTGCCGACGATTGCAGATTGCCACTAGGCGCAAATAAGGTGGGTCGTATCCTGCATTTCCGCCGCCCGACCGACTGGCCCTAGGACAGGGCTGCGCGTCGGCCATTATTGTTCAGGCCAGAGCTCTCCAACGGCCGACAGTATCACCGACCGTATAAGCAGTTATGATCGTACCGCATTCCAGGGAGTTACGACTTATGCTGCCACCAGACTGCTAGCCTCGCATCTTGTTGTGTTCATAGACCTGTCCACGTGCATGACCTAATGTCTCTGTGCACCCCAGGCCAAGCCACCCTGACGCCATCTTGGCGGGACCGATCAGCAATCGTGTGACCTCTGCCCAGCGATCGCGTGATCGTGACGTCAGCGGTAGGTGTGGACACCTCCAGCGCTAGTGGCGCCGCGGCGGCAGCGACAGCAACTGCTGGTAGCCACGTGGCCGCCAGTGGCGCAGGCGCGGGCGTGTCATTACGTAACCGTCATCTGCGCCGTGAGGCGGCCTGGGTGACTCACTCGCCGTGACGTCAGCTGACCGTGACCGTGGCGTAGCGACCTTTGGCCTTGCACCCGGACCGCAGGTCCGCAGCTGATCGGGGGTCGTCTTGCACCGGGTCTGCAGCGGGCCATCTGGACTGGAGTCAGGTCACTGCTGGCCGTATGCCACTCTGTGGGTGCAAGAATGTCTGCATGCTGCATTGCCGCCACGGGCATGTCCACTGATCGTCACACCTACACCGGAGGGCTGTTCACGGGCCCTGTGTGCGGTCGGACCGCACACAACCTCCAAGCTCCGCCCACTGCGTCCCTACGTCAGCCTTCCGTCACCGCACACAGCGATCGCTGTGGCCGGTCGGGACTGGCCACAGCGAACCGTCCACCGCACGCAGCCGTGACGTCAGAGCCGCCTACCCATCCCCTACCCCCACGCCTGCTGGACGCACCGCACACACCGCACGCAGCAGTGTGCGGTGCCCGTGAACACCCCTCAGAACTCGCGCCTATCTGCCTCTCACCGGTCCGGTGACCGTCGAACTCCCACTGAACTCATCTGTCCGCTGGCAGTGTGTAAGGTACTGAGCAACTTGTCCATCGACGCAGCCTGTATTAGGTCCCGGCACCGACTGACCGGTACGGCTCACCGGCCGGTTGCGATCGGCCATTGTGTGCCCGAGGCGCCGAGCGTGCACAGCGGTCAGCGTCCACGCAGGGACGCGTCAAGGGTGTGCACAGACGTCAGTGCACACAGACAGGCCGCCAGCCGGCACCAAGTCCCTACACTGCCCTTCCCGAAGAAAATGAGCCATTGCGCCGCACACCACCACACAACTATGTAAAAAAAAAAAAACGGATTGTTTCCGCCATCGGCCCGACCGGCGATCACCAGCTTCGCTAGCACCAGACTCCGCCGGTACGGACGTTAACTGTTCCGCAGCCGTCAGCCCGCCGCTATCGGGGGGCACCGCTACTTCAACACAATCATCGCCTGATGGCGCAGGCGCCTTCGCTAATGGCACCTGCGTGCCAGTCACAGAAGTTTCCGTTGGCAGCCGCCGTGCGGCAGGACCCAGTCCAGGTTAGCAGGTCGGCGGTCGCTGGGACGCGGAGCTCGACATCCTGAGCAGAGGCGCGTGTAGCTGGGTCGGTGGCGTCAGCTCCTCTGCAGCC